TTTATATGTATAAATTATTTACACGTTTTCAATAATGCAGACCAGACTTAGAGTCATTCGTCATGAGGTTTAGAATTTACAAAAATTATTGTATTATTGATGAACAAACATGCTTTTAATTAAAGTTTGACCTGGTGGTAAACGTTTGTCTAATTAGTCCTTTTAATTCAATTCAATTCAAAATGTTATTGTCATATACATCAACTTAGATGATTTGTGACAAAATTAACAAAACACAGTCAAAAATATCATTATATATGATAGAATAATTTATAGTTCAATTACAAGTCGCCTACTCTAAGTAGTAACATTGGTTTTGTAAAGGAACCTATGGTTTTAACCTGTTTTAGAGTTGATGCATGTACAAAAATTGTATTTCTTTTTTGCATTACTATCCAATCCCCGAAGGGGGAATAGACGTATGGACACTTGTGGTCTTCTTCCGACCGGCAGGAAAAATTTTGTCAAAGTGAAGCTTACGTTTGATTTTATAGGATGTATAAATAAGCAGCTACGTTCCGGTCAGAGTTGGGACGTTAAATTCGATGCCTTGTGTTGAGGGAGTGCCATGCTCACTGCAGGTTAGGAACCCTTGCAAAACCTCGTTGAGGGGTCCGTAGGTGGCCTGTTGCAAGGCGAAATTTATGTCCCTTCCCAATAAACCTCAGTTTTTAGTGGCTGTCTAAATTTCTCGTCCGTCATCCCAGACAACCATTATTACAGGACCGACCTATTGGATTTGTTTTACTTGTTCTCGTCATGAACACGAATGAAAAAAATATTTATCACTGGATATCAAGCAATCAGTAATCAATCAATCATTATCTTCCAAGTCATTAAAATTTTCTTTTACAATTTTCCTAGATTATTTGCTCAATAAAACTGATCTTATGATCGAGCTTTGCCTGCAACACAAAAGATAATGTTCCCATCTATTATTGTTTGTCGTAACTACAATTTCGTCCCCCTTTCCCCAAAAATGTGACCTACCGAGGTAGACTGATCACCGGGTTTGTAATAACATGAGCAAAACACGACGGATGCCACATGTGGAGCAGGATCTGCTTACCCTTCTGGAGCACATGAGATCACCTCCAGTTTTTCGTAGGGTTCGCGTTGCTCAGTCATTGGTTTTCTATGTTTTGTTTTGTTAACTGTTGTTTGTCTTTTTGTCTTTTTCGTTTTTAGCAATGGCGTTGTCAATTTATTTTCGACTTACTAGTTTGAATGTCCCTTTGGTATCCTTCGCCTCTTTTTTGCAAGATTGGCATAGTCGTTATTTCTCGGAATATTTAGGTGTCTCCCTTTATCAATCGATGAATCTTTATCTCAGTTTGGTTATTATCGTCTATTTTCAAATACATTTGAATTTGAATATGTTTCTGTTTAATCATTTTGTTTCAGTGTTTTATACAAAAGAAGTTTATTATCTGTGTTATCTAAATTTGTGAATTTTCATAATGATTAATGATTTTGTTCCTTCATTTCAGTGTTTGATGTTTTTATTCAGTTCGTATTTTTGATTTAAATGCCTCAAGTCTACATGAGATTTCTTTGCAATGTTTTTGACATATGTTAATCAGGTTTAACATCCTCAGGAGTCAGGAATCATTAATAGTTTATGTTATAGATTTGAATTATCTGCTTAATATAAGTCATGTTTCATGCCTTAGAAAGCATTATGTAGATTAACACGTTTGTATGGAAATGTCAGTTATTGGGTCGAAGGTTATAAGTTTGTTTGTGAGGAATTCTCTATATTCCGTGTGGCATGTATGGGGAACACTTAGGGAACACCCCACCACGGGTACATAAGTGGATGAAAAACCTCACTCTAGGCTGTCAAATGAGCTGCTATTGAGCCGTTAAAATCTGTCAATTTTCTTAAATAGAAGAATACCAGCAAATTATTGGGATATTGATAGATTCAGATATGAAAGCATTCCTTACTTCAAAGTATGTTTCCTCACACATTTTCTATCGTTTGAAATTTTTATACTTTCAGAAAATATGACAAGTTTACATATCGAACATAATCCAATTATGATAGATATACAAAATACAACATACAAAAAAAAGAGATGTGGTATGGATGCCAATAAAACAACCCTACAGCAGAGTCAACATGACGCGGATGTTAAGAAAGTATACATATGGGTGGAATGTAGAACTATGGTAATTCCTGAATACTTCCCTACCGACAATAAAACCTAACTACACGTTTAGAAACCATCGCAAAGTTTCTTTCCAGGTCCTACATGTAAATTGCCTGTTATCATGCAAAATGTTTGCATATCATACATACTCTAATTATCAAGTGACAGTCGAAATTGTCATCATTTTCATAGTCCACTCACTAACCTTTGATAAGTAACGAATATTTGATTTATATGTCGCATGACAGTGTCTAGCGAACACATAGAGACCATCTTTCGTCGTTGTCGTTGATATCAATCCGCATTTTCATGGAAACGGACGGAAAGAATATAAGCAATTATGTATAAAATTTACTACAAACAGGAAGTTGTGTACCTTTATTTTTACCTAAGTGATCCTTTGGGCTTCCAATACCAAACAAACGGACTTTTCTTCTCTTACTAATTGGAAACGTACGTTCTGTGCATACATGAAATATTAGCCAGTGGATGTCAAGCAAACAATAGGTGCGTATTTTTGCACTCAGACATTTTTTAAAGCACTGTGTTTTATAAAGCAATCAACTGAAGGATTTTCCATTAAATAAGTTTGATCTGAAATAACGTATTGCTAGAGGTTATTGTTATATCATTGCGTTGGGGTTTTTTTTTTTAGACTTACTTTTTATGCGGATCGTTTTGTTGTAACAACTCTTTAAAAGCCTTTTTTGTTTCTTAAATTTTAGTTCAGGTTTTTCTGATAGGTTTAGGATTACAAATAACGTTTTGAATTGAAGTGTTTATCACTGTTTATGATGTTGCTGTTTGACATTTTTTCGAAATCACAGTCACTAATGTCACTAATGTCACTAATGTCACTAATGTCACTAATGTCACTAATGTCACTAAGGTCACTAATGTCACTAATGTCACTAATGTCACTAATGTCACTAAGGTCACTAATGTCACTAATGTCACTAATGTCACTAATGTCACTAAGGTCACTAATGTCACTAATGTCACTAATGTCACTAATGTCACTAATGTCACTAATGTCACTAATGTCACTAATGTCACTAATGTCACTAAGGTCACTAAGGTCACTAAGGTCACTAATGTCACTAATGTCACTAATGTCACTAATGTCACTAATGTCACTAATGTCACTAATGTCACTAATGTCACTAATGTCACTAATGTCAGCATGAATTATCGTTTTAATTGCACTCTTCATGATGCTTCTCTATTAAATCTTTTCGGAACTTCAGCTGCCTAATGACAATTTAGCAGGTTATGAGGTTTGAGCTTTCGGTAGTTTTTTTTTATAAAAGATATGTTATTGTCGTTTTACTTGTTTCTGTTTTTGGTGTATATTTTACCAACAGTATAGGGCTGAGTGCCTTTTGGAAATATATTTTACCAACAGTATAGGGCAAAGCTCCTTTTCCGAAATATATTTTACCAAAAGTATAGGGCTAATTGCCTTTTCCGAAACATATTTTACCGACAGTATTTGGCTAAGTGCCTTTTCCGAAATATATTGTACCAATAACATAGGGATAATTGCGTTTTTCCTAAATATATTTTACCAATAGCATAATTTTAGTCCTTGTTTTGAAGTTTCGTTTGTATGCTCATTCACATCTTACTTTTTATTCCACTGATCGAGATTAAAAATGGAAGAATTGTGCACCAAAAAATGTGCCTATCTTAAATTGCTATAAACTTGACTTCTTTTTTTTTACTTTACTGAATTTTGTTTATAGTCAGGCCATTTATAGTCTCTATTACATGTATAACTTATATAGACCTGAGGCTTTTAACATTTAAAATTACATAAACTCCTTCATGTATCTATTCCTAAAGAAGGTATGGTATGTTGATCTCTAGATAGTCTATAATACAAACAATGAAATGTGGAATGATTGCCAATGACCCAGATATGACCAATAACGTAGATGTAAGCAACTATAGGTCACCGTACGGCCTTTAATAATGAACAAAACCTATCCCATATAGTAAGCCTTAAATGTCCTCGGCTTGAAAAATTTGAAACATTTCAAACGAGAAAAACAATTGCCTGATATACATGATATGTGTTAAAACAATCAATAATATAAAAACAAATATGACCGAAAGTAAACAACGACCATTGGGTCTTGCACTTAAAGTATTTGTTGTGATTAAACATGTTTTTGAGCGTTTAACCCTCACCTAACTGGGGACAACGGTCACACCACAACATACGAACTAATGTGATAATCAGTTGGAAAGGCCTTGGTTTGTCAACAGAAAAGTAACCAAACACATTTAAAGTTGTTTCGAAACCACATTCGTACTTTTTAATCATATTATTCGTTCACTATCGTGTTATATTGGTGATATAAAGAACATCAATAAAAGCATCTTTGCTTTGCTATTAAAGTTGTTTTTACGTGCGTGTAGTGATTTGAATCTAAATGTTACAACATATCCTTTCTGTGATATTATTGATATATCTGTTTTCACCAAATGGAATATGGTCCATAGTTTGTTATTCATCTTTGACCATTCCTGGGTCTGAACGCGCTTTGACGAGTTTATCTAGAAAAGCATCAACATTGGATCATTTTGTTTATTTGCAACAATTTGAGAACAGGAACGTCAAAAACGATCTCTGTTCTTTCTGGTTTATAATTTTTAAAAATGACAAAATAACAAATTTAAGTTTATTTTTATTCAGAAGAAAAAAAAATGGTTATTTAAATTAAATACAAATAACACGAAAATAAATCTGTCGGAACCTACTAACATACAAAATACCAAATAAAAAAAAATTTTTTTACACACTATAAAATAATAGGTAAACTTTATTTGAAATGACAAAGGACAACACAAATATGAAATCCCTATGAATTGAGCAACACGAACCCAAACAATAACAGGTAGTGAACTCATTTGTGGCAGAAGTGGTAATCAAGTGTTTACTCACAAATAGCAAATAATTTCGTTTGCAGTCAAAAACGAAGATTGACATAATCTGTTACATTAGTTGTTTGTATGTCAATGTCAGATGTTGGCCTAGCACTATCAACTGCCGCACTAGGATAAATTATTGAACTATATTGATGAGTCCCTTGGTTTTCGTGTACTACTATTTGGTATGGGTTTTCGTACCCGTCACCGACATTTAAACCCATTGTTGTTGTTGCATTTGCTTCCATTCTAGATTCGTCACTGGTTGATGAACACGTTGACGTTCTTTTGCTATTTGACGAAGTTTCGTCTTGATGACTTCTTCTTTGAAAAGACTCCAATGAATCATCTGTTGACGCAAAACTTTCTTCATTATAGCTTCCGTCACTGTGTCTTATTTCCTCAATAGCCAACGGGGAAGAAGTATCGATTGCTCTTTCTGCATTATAGCTGCGCCGCGCCGCATTTACTACAGATTCTTGAAGTGATACTCTCGAAGACGTAGAAACATTCATTGCAGGTCGATAGTAAATAGTGGTTGTGATAGATTCATTTTGTGGACTACTTATGATTCTAGCGGGCAACATAGGTCCTTGTTGATTAGAATCTAACCGAAGAATGTTGACCGCTTCATAGGAAATTGATCCTATTTCATCGTAATTGTTATAGTGCAAAGGTTCTTGTATATGACCTCGCCTTGTTCTTTTCCTTCTGTGTCTGACAAAAAGACAGATGTGAAGTACAGTTATGTAAACCAACAAACCGCCGGCTAATATACTACTTGTTATGAGTCCAGTTCTGTCCTTTTTGTTGTTTTCACCAGATTCTGCATTAAACCAAACGAAGGCACATAATTACACGAATATGAAAAGAGAAAAAGCACCACTATATGAATAAATGATAAACTAAACGATAGTATTTCAAAATAAGATATGAGAAGATAGCTCTTATAAAATGAATTCGGAATGTCAAAAGTCAAAAGGAATCACTGTTAGTGTTTTCCTGCTATAACATATAATTAAAACATGTTCAGTAGATTCCTGTATAAATATAGAGATACCTCCCCTTATTACTGAATATGAAGAAAAACATTTAAATCATGTAAACATATTAGTACTTATAAGATCACTTCACGTAAATTTGTTTATTAAAATGATTTTTATTTTGGTAAATTTCCTGACTGCATTGAATTTGCTGTTTGATTGCAAATCTAGACATGTTGTATTATGCTTATTTACAATCTAAGATGGCAGAAAGACTCCGATACCACTCTAAGTTTTTCGTCATTCAACAGTACGCATATTTTATAACTAGTGCAAAATTCAGCTGCCACAAAATTTCATCTGAAGTTCACTTAACGTGTTTTGACGGAATAAATTTCTCCAGATATCTGTATTTTGAAGTTCAGACAAGTGAGTGCTGTCAAAACAAATATGACAACAATGAACATGACATTTTATGTTTTGAAATTGTGTTTTCGATTCTTTTTTACAGATGTTATCAAATAGTATATCAGTATTTAGTGAAATCATTAAGAAGACAGATTTTTCGTATTGAATTGAGTCTCATTAAAACATTCTGGTTGTAAGGACCTGAATGAATTTGAACAGCTGTTACATAGACAATTACTTAAAATTACCGTACCAGATGGCTTGATTTCAATTATAAAGAAATCTAATCCTAGTTCATTCTTTGCACATATATGATAAACACGGAAGTCATTGCTGTTCTCAATGTATGTGTCAATTTCAATTTCATATCCACTTATATTTCCTCTGTTTCCAAAAGCCGTATACGACAAAGTTGTGTTTGACATCCTGAACTCATGTTTTGTTCTATTTTGGTTACAATCAGTTCCGACGCTTTGAATCCATATGTCATCTACCAAAGGGTCACTGTATAGGAGAAGTGTCAGTGTTAAAGGTTCGCCAAGCTCACCATAAATTACATTTCTGTTTTCACGTAGAAATATTGGCACACCTGCAATAAAATGGTACATCCTCAAAGTTTTGCTGTAGAATTCCTTCAAGAATCGATGACAATAATGGTGATAGCATGGTATGATAATGGGGAAAAGCACCTCATATAGAATTCTCCGTTTATTGGTTGGCTTCATGTTGCTACATGTATTAATATTTGTTTTTGAACTTTACTAGTTCTTTTACTTAAATTGATCGAATCTCCAGAGCTGACGAAACCCTTGTCAACTAGTAGGTGACGTCAACTAAGTGCAAGTGATATGAGTTGCTTGATCCAAGAATACTCAAAACAAAATAATTAAACCAAAGACATGAAGGTTGTAGAAAATTTGAAGAGGTGTATTCGCTTAAGTACCAAAGCTTTCCATCATTACAATAACATAGATTCACTGTATCGGAGGAATATTAATGTAAAGGGATCATCTAGCTCGCCATGCATTCAATTTGTGTTTTCAGATACAACTATTTACGCACTGGCAATAAATGGTAAATTTTTTATGGCCTTTTGGTAGTATTCCTCAATTACAATTCGGAAAATGTCTGCAAGTATCTGGATATCTAAGTTTTCAGACAAAAAATAAAAACAGGTTGATTGTTCGTCACAATTCAGAATTCAAGGTAGGTAAATACTACCGAACGCGTTCTGTCATTTTCTGAGCAAAATGTGATAACAAATGTACGATACAATTTTACAGTGAAATGTGAATAATGAACAGGTGGTAGTGGAGAAGGTTTTGTTTAATGACCAAATTCCATACCAACAGACAATTTTAGCGAATCTTTTTTTATGTTCATTTATTACAGAAAAAATTAGGCATTTTGACGTCCAGAAAGACAGAGGATATATTAAAAAAATACAATCTGGATTACATAACTACAATTCTGGAACACATTACAAAATTATGCAGTCCTGGATGATCTCTTATATCATGATTGACTAGTTGATTTATTGCATATTGTTTTCAGATAAGTGTCTTTTGCATCTAACAAATACAAGAATATTGATATAGAATTGTGTTAGTAATGGTTGTAATTAATTGTATCTTCTAAATCAAACTGTGTAAAAACAAATAAATCCTGTGCATACAGTTGCTTTAAACTAAAAATCATATAAAAGAACTAGGTGATTAATTATCTCTACTTTTACATACATATAGAAAATAGAAATAGAATTAAAACCACATACGATAAGACAAAAAACAATATCCAATCAAAATTACAAATAAAACATCAAGACTAAATACACGAATGTTGGATGTACAAATACCGAGCCACGTCTAATAGCTATGCGAATTCACACTGTACATTGTGATTTAACTGTATCAAAATTACACCTAGAATTATCTTACCAACAGCCCGGATGCTGAAACTAAAAGAATCCTCTCCTAGTCTATTTTTTGTCCATATTTTGTACATTTCATATTCATTGCTGAATATTTTGATTTCAAATGCAAATTTATAGCCTTTGATATTTTCTTTATTTCCAATTTCCGAGTACAACAGCTTTGTTTCAGTTATTCTAAAGTCATGTATTGTTTCATTTATCGTATAACTAGAAGCGACACCTTCAATCCATAGTTCTTCTACAATAGGGTAACTGTATATGAGAAATGTCAATGTCAAAGGTTTATACAGTTCGACACTCATGACATTGCTGTTTTCGTGATCAAATATAGGTGAACCTGTAAATCAATTCGAAAGAATTTAGTCGTATAAATTAAGATTACATGATTATTTAATGATATAAGCTAAATATAGATCTTCAAGACATTGTCAAATATCAAAGAAATGTTTAGCATACATTATTTTATAATTGTGGTTTGTTATCTATTTCCTGCATGAAATAATCTCGTTTCACACTGAACGAAGTTTAACATGAAAAAGTAATACGTAGAATGCGTTAATTTGTTTGGCCTATCCTGCAATGAGTTGAGAAATCTATATATTTGTATTGGTTATTCGTTATATCTCTGGTGGCATTCAAAGGCAACATCGGAGTACCGACCGCCCTTTGCGTCGGATATTTGTGATGTCTTCAATATCACATAAAACACTTAAATCGTTCGCCTGAATATATTCTTTTTACAATGTATCAAATTTGATTTCTTTCCAAAGCATCGTACACAAAAAAAACGTCGGATTTTTACAGTAGTCTGGGTTTCTTACATAATTTTTTCAAGATCGTTAGCGGACTAATATTTAAAGAGAAACCAAATGGAAATCGAAACTATTTCACTAGAATTTTCTTTTTCACAGAAAAAAAAATCTACAAAAAGAAGAAGTACCGTTTTCGAATAAGTGTTTTGTACGTGTTTATATATTTCTTGTCAGCTTTTATTTTCTTTATAGAGCAGGAACTAGTTGCTCTTCATGAGTACCTAATTTAATCCTCAATGTTTGGTGGGAAAGACCTTGCTACATTTACATCTATCAAATATCAAATCAGAATTTCACAAGTTCTATTCCCTGAATCTGATCAAATCTTACATCAATATAAATGATTTGCAGAAATAAGAATAATTATATTTTGTCAATAAAACTAAAACTTTATGTATTTATTTGGTGTTTCCGAATCACTTTTCCTGGAGTGCCCAAAAAAAAAAAATGGAGAAACCAAATACACGAAGGATGTAAAAACACTTGCGGAACTATATGACTGGAAATGGACATCAAGTAAAAAGCCGAATTAAACTCAAATTTTCCTCATTGAAATCGAACCTGCGTAAGAACATTTTTCTTATTTTTTTCATTCAACGCTTGTGTTTTAAATTATCCTGTATATGGTTGTACAAATCAGGAAATGTACATTACATGACAAACGACACCATGACTTCACTATAATACATGACTTCACTATATCAGATACCATCTTTATTATTATCTTACCAACAGCTCGGATGTTGAAACTAAATGATTCTTCTCCTAATCCATTTTTTGTCCATATTTTGTACATTTCGTATTCATTACTATACATTTTGAATTCAAATGCAATTTCATTGCCTTTGATATGTCCTTTGTTTCCAAATTCTGAGTACAACAGCTCTGTTTCGGAAATTCTAAAATCAAGTATTGTTTCATTTTTCGTATAACAACGAGCGACACATTCAATCCATATTTCTTCTACAACAGGATTACTGTATATGAGAAACGTCATAGTAGTTGGTTTAAACAGATCGACAAACTGTACATTTCGGTTGTCGTGAACAAATATAGGTGGACCTATAAATTGACTCAGTAGAATTTATTCGTATAATTTAGAATACATAGTGATATAAGTTACATACAGATATTCAAAACAAAATACTTGTTAAGTGTACATTTTCTGATGGTTATTGTTTGTTGTCTATTTCCTGCTTGTAGAGATAGTTGTCGTGTCACACTGTACAGTGTATAATATGAAGAAGTGATACGAACAATGTGTTTATGTGGTTGGCTATCCTACAAGGTTTAACGAAATTTCTACATTTTTGCTGGATATTCTGTGAAGAATGGCTATCAAGGTTCGAAATTTGTGATATCTTCAAACATTTTGGCATTATACGGGATATGTTCTTCTCATATATTTAATGATGGTATGATACTAAACCCGTAACGGGGGGGATTGTACTTAATATTCATATGATGAAGACATAATCTTTCAATCAGTTTACTTCAGGTATGGAACTCGCATGTCAGTAACTGCTAGCAGTCCTTTGTTAATTTGTGAATCATTGTCATTTTGCTAAGTTTGTTTTGTTACCTATTCTGATATCGGGCTCTGACTTTCTTTTAAACTGAATTGTACTGTGAGTATTGCTGTGTGTTTATTTTTTCTACATTGGCTAGAGGTATAGGGGAGGGTTGTTGAGATCTCACAAAACATGTTTAACCCCGCCGCATGTTTGCGCCTGTCACAAGTCAGGAGCCTCTGGCCTTTGTTGGTCTTGTATGATCTTTAATTATAAGTTTAGTACGACGTCCATTATCACTGAACTAGTACACATTTTTGTTAAGGGGCCACCTGAAGCAAGCCTCTGGGTGCGGGATTTTCTCGCTGTGTTGAAGACCCATTGGTGGCCTTCGGCTTTTTTCTGCTCTGTGGTCGGGTTGTTTTCTCTTTGACACATTCCCCTATTTCAATTCTCAATTTTATTTATAAAAACGACAAAGAAAGTAAACAAAATGATGCAAATACTTCTATAGATGTATTTAAGATATAACAAAAAGTTTAGGGACAATGTCGCAAATTTTGCATATTTGTATTGTCAAATTTAACTAAACAAATTATATCAGAAAATCGAAAACAAAATAAGAAAAGAAACTGTTAAACTTTCCAAAATATGATTAAATTACAATCTTAAGATAGATAAACATTTCTGTAGAAAGTAGAACAATATGTCAAAATAGATCATGTATGTTTACGCTAAATATATTTCATTCGTGTTGTCGAAATTAGACATTTAGAACTGCTCAATAATGTGAAGTGATCGTACATCTCGAAAATATTTTAGAATAGGACAACACTTAAATTATTCGTATCTCAATACTATTAGTAACTGAAAGATTGAAAAAACGAATTTGAAACTGTTATTTGTACTGGTATAGCTATATATAGCGAAAAGAAGTCAGACATTGATGGAAATTTAGGCAACAGTAGTATACCGCTGTTCAATAATCATAAATCGATTAAGCGAAAACAAATCCGGGTCATGGACCACAACAGAGGGATATACATCAACCATAAGATAAAAAGAATGGAACAACAGCAACACAGAACTGCTACAAAAACGAAGACCAACATACATAGAAACGGACTATTTGATAATAACTGACATATTCCCTACTTGGTACAGGACATTTAAAGAACAAATGGTGGGTTGAACCTGGTGTTATGGCTAGCAAAACCTCCCGCTTACATGGCAATGTAAAAAATACCGCTAATATGACAGTAATTACGTGACAAAAAGAAAGCAGTACAAATAAACGCAAGAACACTCACGAAGGGGAAATACATAAAGAAATAATATAATAGTACATTACAACATGTAAAACATAGAATAACAACGGACACAACACAATAGAATTATATGTGCGTTACACGTTTATACCAACGCCAAAGAAAAAAGAGAAGTTTATTTAATGACGTTTATTTTATCAGAGGTAGAATTCTAAAAAATAAATAATATACAAATGGAATTGTGTTTGTAATGGTATAGTTATTTGTATTTTTGTATATATATATGTCGGTTTTTCTTCTAAATCAAAACTGTGTATAAACAAACAAAAAATCCTGCGCATATAGTTGTTTAAAACTAAAAATGATATACAAATGAACTAGCTAATGAATCATCTGAACTTGTATTTACAAATAGACAGATGTGGAACATTCTTCCCTCTGCGATTTTGACATCGATGGACATTGAACAATGTTTAAAAGACGTCTTTTGTAGTCTTTATTGCATCTCGTTATTAGTTCTTGTTTAACAAAACGAATGTGTTTGCAAACAAATTTTAAATAGGTGACATAACCTTATACTTTGACTTGATCTTAAGTACACACTTTAATACTGTATTGATACAGACCAGTACTGCTTAAAATCATTTCATTCGTATTGGATAAACATTGTTTTTGTTATCATAACTCAGATATAGAGTAATATATTAAAGCATGAAGGTCTTTCGAATTAAAAAGTTCAATAAACTTTTCACAATGTTCTACCTATTTTAATATATACTGCAGCTGTGCTATTTGCGCAGTCAAATTGCATTGACCGTATAATCATTTGTGATATGTTATGATTTCACTGACCGTATATCACCCTGTTTATGACGTTGACAATGCGTTTTCGTAGAGTTTTATTTATGACGTCATTAAAAGTGCTCGTTCGCGGAATTTTTACGTCGTTTGCTTCAAACTAAAAAATTATTTCATTTGGAACAGCTGTGGGAGTTGCAGTATATAACGAATAACTATACATTGTTTCGAGATATAAAGTTTATTTGTACTAGGCTCAAAACAGGATGGAAATGCTCGGCAAAGTCTCGCTTTCTACCTGTTTTTAAGCCTTATGAAAATAAAATTTATATTTTGGGACAATGTATAGTCCATTCTATTCATTGTCACTCTTATATTGTGTCATTCACATGCTATTTGTTGCCATAAATATAAGTGTTTCATTGCCATGATTGTTCTTTTCTATTGACAATATAGTCAAACTATGTTTAAAGTTAATGATGACCATCATGACCAGTAAACACTTATCTTACACGTTTTGTAAGATAGGTGACACTTAAGTTGACGTTCAAAATACATACGTAGCAGTAATGTGGGAGAAAAGGAGGATGACCTGAAAAGGCATGCTTTCTGTAAATAGAGGAGACCTTTATAGCATGTTTGAATGCATTAGTATAGAGGAACAAATCGATTTGATGTACACCTTTTAGATGCCTTACCTTGATAATTGTAACTTGTAAAATTTGTTTGTAATATGCTACCATTCATATCAGGTATACCATTGCTAACAGTGCAAACATATCTTCCACTAATCTGATATTGTTGTGGAAGTGTCTGAAGAATCAATGTCCCATTTTCTAATCCATTTAAGAAGCGTATATGTTCTCCTTGTTCCGATTGATGTTCCCATCTATCAAATGTGTACGTGTCCGGGATACCGTCGGGGACGCAGTCAATTC